GCGGGCCGTAGTTTGCCCACAGCTGGCCTAGAGTCTAACTTCCAAGATGTTTACAAATGTGTTCTAACCACGATAAATCACATAAAAAAGCATTTTATTGTTGAACTCTCTGACTGGTATAATACTTCAATTAGGAATACAGCTTGGCAGAAAGACATCCAAGGTCATGGCATGTAATTGCTATCATCTTCCAACTATTTCTGGGATTTGGCACCATTTCCTCCCTGCTGAATTTGGAAGTTGGAATGTCTTTGCACACATGTATCATCAACACTTAAGCCAGCACTCCTTTGGTATGTGGACTATTTTCCATTGGTGCATACCTCACTCCTTATATTTGTGAATCACTTTCCATTAAATTCCTTTTCTAAATAAAATGGGGATAAATTATGCAGACTTGTATAAATATATTGAATTAATAGGAATAATATATCTAATCAAGTTTATATATAAATTGAATTATCTTTAAAGATGCTATCAAAAAGTACACAATTTATAGAATATAAAATGTTTTGTTTAAGAATATAGGCTTCAATAGTGTGTACATTTTCTTTATTAAATAACCTCATTATATGTTTTGAAATTCAAATACATTTAAGTAATTGTCTTTTAATAAAGAATTTAAAAAAGACTAGCACTCTACACTATGTATATGTTTCTCTTTAATGAAAGTTCTTTCTCACTCTTAAATAAGAAGCAAAAGAATGGAAACAAGAAAAAGACCAGATTCCTTTATCGTGACAGGTTTGTAGGAATTATAGCTAATATAATCTAATTCCAATTTGTCAGTTACATAAAATATTTAACCTATACATGTCCAAAGAATACTATTGTATTTGTTTCCTAATAGATAGGTATACAATGAGCATACACTTTGGCTTTCTTTTTCATTATTTCCAAACTTCCAATAATTTTATTTTTCTTCAATTCTCCCAAGCTTGTGATAATGAGTTTCTCACAAACTCCGTGTTCAACAAAGGGCTTGGCAGGCTTTAACTTCCTGATATGGGCCTGATAGTTAATCATGACAAGATCCCCTTTAGTATCTAGTCCTTAAATGACTCTTGTACTTTTTGGTGATCGTGCCCACTAAAACAGCATGTGGATACGTTCAGAGCTCTTCTCAGGGTGACTGAGGGCCTGAGTCCATCACACAGTTCACAGCTGTGTGACCACAGAGGAAATCGATGCCATGTTCAGACATGATTACGTAAGAAAACCATCATTACACAGAATTATTTTTTCATTTAAAGCTGTATTTCTGTCCTTTGTCCATATTTTTGTGGTGGTATTTTGTTTTGATATTTAAATTAGTTATTTTTTTTTCTTTCTGGAGTAACAGCGTCAACTAAAATGGAAACAACAAGCTCTGGCGAAATAGCAATTTCTATGTTTGCCTTTCAAAACATTTATAAAAATTACTTTTAAAACAACATTAGTAAGGACTTTGGCAAAAATACTAAAGAGATGAAATAAACATCCCAAAAATAAAATACAAAGAACTTGGAAAAAAATAAGTTCTATTAAATATTTATTGTTATTCCTTTGAGAGAGCTTATACATAAGTTGTTTATTATTTTCCATCACCAGGATGTCATAACAAGGGTTAATTGCTTCTGTTTCACTTTTAATTTTATTCTTTTTAGTTATTTTTCTGCTTAAATACAAAGTTGTTCAGATTATGTTTTTATATAGGCCAAGTTACCTAACAGAGTTGAGAAAAAATAAAATGGTTTTATTTAGCCATTTAATATCTAGCCTTTAAATGACCCAATGTACATTTTTATTAGTAAGGTGAAATAGTGAAAATCCCAAGAAAAACAAAAATAATCTGGTTTGTAATCTTACTTGTTCCGAAAAATGGAATAAGCATGCCTGACTTCTTGTTTATTAATTCACGATCCCATACATTTTGACTATTTGATCATCTATTGCCTATTCAGAGTAAATATCACTCCTGCATTTATATATCATCCATAGGTTAAAAAAAAAAAAGCTATCAACCTAAAAAGAATGTCTGAGAGGGATTTCAAAGGAATGTACTGAGAAACCATCACTTATATCTTCTCCTGAGCTTTCTAGATAGTGGTATTGATATTAAAAGAACAATATTATACAGTTGTATAGTGTTTGGGGATACTCATAATTAAGGCATGTATTTTTAGATGTGTTTTCTATGTGTATGATGGATTTCTCCGATCTAGGCATGTTTTCATACCAGGACTCCAAACAATCACTGTCAAGCAGTAGAATTTTTTTCAATACCACTTAGCTGACCCACGATTCCAACAGAGCTCCAAGTGCTCAAAGTAATAGGAAGGTCATACATAGCAGTGGAATTGAATGGGAGAAGATATTCACCAATGATACATTCTAAGGGGTTAATACCCAAAATATAAGGAACTTATACAACTTAACAGCAAAAAGGCAAACAATTCGATTAAAAAATGGGCAGAGGACTTCAATGGACACTTCGCCAAAGAGGACACACCGATGGCCAATAGACATATGAAAAGCTGCTCAACATCATAAGTCACCAGAAAAATGCAAATCAAAACCACAATGTCACCTCACACCTCTCAAAATGGCTATCATCAATAAATCCACAAGTGTTGGTGAGGATGTGGAAAAGGAAACCCTCGTGCACTGTTGGTGGGAACGCAAATTGGTGTAGCCACTATGGAAAATAATATGGATGGTCCTCAAAAAATTAATAATAGGATACTCATTTTTCATTTGACAAAACCTCCAAAGATATTCATATATCCAGTAAAGATATAGTTTAAAGATTCAGATGAACAGCTGGGTGTACTGTTCAAATACAGAAGATAGGTGCCATTTTTTCTTTGCAGTTTTCCATGACTTATAGTATGAGGGTGTGTTTAGGAAGCCAAAGAACTAATTTTCTACAATGTCACCTACTTAAAAAATATCTACAGTCACAACTTTCCACATTCTGCTTCTTCACTTTTTTAGTTGAGAAAGGTTGATATATGTTATAAAGTAGAAGTTTATGATGGGCAATTTTTTTTTTCTTTTTCCTGTCTCAGTATTTGCAACCATCTAGTTAGAAGTAGCATTTAACATTTCATCAGAACAGGATTCAATTCAAGTTCTAAAAAATGAAATGAGAACATTTCACTGGAACAATAAGAAACTAATGAGAATTGATAGAAAACTCAGTTTTTTCCTTCATTTTTTTTTCCAGAAATGATTTTGGTTTAGAGAAAGGACAGCAATTCACAAGAGTCGATTGTGGCTTGAAAGGAGAAATTTAGGACACGAATAGGCATTGGACTATGTTACAAAATTTGGAACAAAACTGGAGTTCATGAAAAAAATATTTCTCCCACTGCATGTGTTGTATCTAAAGATTAACATAAGTCTTTCAAATATTCAATGGTTATGATTTTTCTATTAAAATGCAAGCATCTCTTAGGATTGCACACCCAAAATCATAACAATATTTGCTAAGAACTCATGCTATTAACGGGCCAAGGGAAATGTTCTGGGGAATGTGGGTAGGAAGATAGGAAAACAAGTGCTGTGCAGAAAATGTAGAACGCAGAGACAAACCTTCTCTTTTTCAATTTCTTGGAGAAACTTGCACCATAACATTACACTAAGAGTTATTGTATGGGATGTTGTATTGGAAAGAGCGGTTTATAAAATACAGTGCTTGCACCACTTTTACCTTGGTTTTCAGAATGCAAAACATTCTGAAGGTCATCCTTTCTTCCTGGGATGATTAGTTTTTATTTGACAAAAATCAGTTACTTTGGAGTTGAGCAAAGCTGTATGTCAATGAATTGGTTGCAATCTCATCAGGCAATCAAACATGAGATCAACACAGCTGTTGGGACTGTAACAGCCAGGAAGGTTCTAGTCAGAGGCCAGACAGAGAGGAGCAAAAAGCATTGTTGAAACACGGGGTGACACCAGCAAAGGTTTATTAATATGTTCTTTCAAGAGATATTTAAAATCAATGCCATGCTTTCAAAGAGTATAAAACATTTTAGTCTTAATATGGGTAGGATTTTGGCTGTTCTTACACCTCTTCCTTCAAAAGCAAGTACTACTTTCTTTGAAAAGTGGGCATATAAAAGCTTATCTTGTGACTCTGAAGCAACATATACCATATTGCATACTAAGATTTTGTGGATAATATATTTATTTGCATACAGAAATATGTATTTCTATTATACATTTCATTGCTTTATTTATAGAATATGTATATTAAGCATACAGCATATCCCAGGAAGATACATTAAATAAGCACACAGTTCATGCTGCAGCGTGCACCCTCTTAAGAGAAGCATATTGGAGAGGCATGGTATTGTATATACATGCTGAAAATACACTTTGCACAAGTCATCTGGCTTGGGGTGCTTCCCTAATCTATTTGCAACACCAGTGCTGTGGTTGTTGAAAGGGATATTATCAAACTGGGGAAAAGGCAAGTATCAACTAAGTAGGAGAAAATAAAAGTAGATTGCATCTCTACAGGTATATTGTCATCAGTTTGAACTCCCATTTCCCCCAATATCAGATCTTCAGGATAAAAAAAAAGCAGTGAATGGACAAAGAGTAGGAGTATGTGGGCTCTCCAGCTTCCACATCCACACTGAAAAGCTAATCTCATGTGACTTATTATTATTATTATTTTAGATTGTACTTTTATTTTTAGAGTTTTAGGTTCACAGCAAAATTGAGCGAAAGGTACAGAGAGTATTTATATACCCTCTGGTCCCCACACAAGCACAGCCTCCCCCACTGTCAACATCTGCATCAGAGTGGTACATTTGTTATAATGGCTGAATCTACATTGGCACATAATTTTTTTCATCCAACGTCCATAGTTAACATTAGGGTTCCTTCTTGGTGTTGTACATTCTATGGGTTTGGACAAATGTAAAATGACTTAGTAGATTTTATCTTAACACAGGATCTGCCATTAAATCAGTGATGAACTGATAAAAGGGCAATCATTTCTCTTTTTTTCCCCCAAGAAATGACCTGGCCTTTTCACATATTTAATCTCCTCTTCTTATAAGACCACTCTGTGATATTTACATTATTGCTACGAGAAGAAATTCTTGACAGATATTCACCTTTCCAGTGAAAACAAAGGAGATGAATCATACTGCTTCTGAAAGAGGCTCTTAATGTTTTTGAAAGGACAAATGTTAGCTCCAATAGAAACTGACTACATCAATGCAACCATTTTAATGGCCAACTACTGAAACCTCAATTGACTGGATTCTGTGGCAACCTAATCAGGCACTAAGATGTTGGAAACAATGTGTTATGTGCCTGGTCTGATGATTCTGGATATGTACATGCGGCCTGTGTTCCCAATGTATAAACTACAAATACACCAGACTCAGTGGATGATAGTGTGTCTGAATCACGATTGGTGAGCATTACCTTTTTCAAACAGGTGAGCAATTTGCATTGATATTCTAATAGTGATACAGGATTATTTTCCCACTTATACAAAGCAAGCTCTAGAATCCCTTGAAACAGACCAGGGTTTCTCAACTTCTGCACTATTGACATTTTGAGCCACATAATTTTTAGTCGGGGCAGGTGGATGGGGCTATCCTGTGTAAGCTGTTTAGTGGCATCCCTGGCCTCTATCCACTAGATGCCAATAGCCCTTCCCCAAGTTGTGACAACAAAAAATGACTCCTTACATTATTAAATGTCCCCTGTGAGGGGGGCAAAGTTGGCTTGATCCCCAGTTGAAAGCCACTGAAATAGACAAATCCAGCAGTAGTTAATGCAAACCTTTGAATACAGTCTCTATATCTGTCTAAGCATCTACCATTTTCAGTATTCTTTCCATTTTTTTTATTCCGGTCGACAAAACTTCCAAGATGTTTCAGTCTATCTTCAGTTCTTTTCTTTAATCCTTGATGCTCTCTCTTTCAATAACAGGTGGCGAAGACCAAAAATAAAAGGAACAAAGGGAAGGGTGCGATGACAATGGCGAGTAACAGGCAATTTGACTTAAAGTGAGTAGGATTGTTGCATACAAGAGACCAGAATCTGGAATCCTCAATCCTTGGATCCAAAGAGTTCATTCCACTAAAGCTGAATCTACATCATAATAGTGCAAGTTAGTAAGTGAAACATTCAGCCAGTCAATTGTTTTGTTTACAGGGAACCAAACACTCTATTGGCTTGATGCTCCTTCCACACAATTTATTCCTGGATTTGACGAAATAAAACACAAATAAATATTAATTTAAAATGTAAATGTTTACATTGACATCATTGTAGTGTGAAGGAATCTGAACTGATGCTGTGTGTTTATACATGGAAGATTTTTTTTTAGGGGGGCTAAGGGGGATGACTGAAGTTATTCAACTAGGAAGTTATTTTTATAAAGTTAAATTAAAACATTGTTGGCAATTTGCTTCTTCCTGGCTGTTCTTTTTGTTGTTGTTTGTGTTGTGCTTTTGGTTAACTCTCAAAATTGTTGAGATGCCATCAATGAGGCAAGTCACACAAAATAACTAAATTGCTAATGTCTAATACTGATTAAGTCATCATGCAGCTCACATAGATATATAACTGGTCAAGATGAAGACCATAAACCTAAAAGGCAGAATATGAAATTTGAAAAAAGTTTTATAACTTTTATTTCTATTGATTGTGTCATCTTTAGAAAATCTAATTGGAAGACTACAGTGAATATAGTAAAACAAAGGAGGAATGAAAATAACTAGTTAAATCATGAATAATGTAATCATATATTTATTTGGGGTACCAAATAAAAAGTATCTACATGGAGAAGATTCTTTAAAGCCACTGTTTGGGTATTAGTTCCTGACATGATGTTCTGATGGTCTAGTATTAGAGACATGTGAGAATGACCCAGGTACAGCCACTACATTCTTCTTTCAGATTCTGCTGAGCTCACCTGGCCTCTGTTTAAGTTATCTACTACATGTCTGTCACAAGGATTACTATACTTCTATTGATGGAATTTTGAAGTTAAAATTTTTTAGGGAGAATTGACAGTTGAGGAATGAGGAATATATGGTTTCAGTAAATGTTTTTTAATTGCTTATTTTTTCTCTCCATTGGATCATAGGGTGCTTATAAACAGCCTCATGAGCTGAATATTGGCTTTCAGAAAGCATTGAGGGGAAGGTCTTAATTTCTTGGGATTGACCCAGAGGTCACTGGTGCCACGGGAGTATATTAATTCTATTCAGAATTCAACATGAAAAAGGCAGCATGTTCTTCCTGCTGACAAAGGCCAGAAGTTCATGTTTTACAGGTTAGCATTTCACATGCGGGTCAGGCAGATTCAGGTTGAAACAGAATGTTCTTTCAACCGCCCATTTTCTTATCTGAAAATTTGCCTGGCCTCAGTAAACTTTCTCCAACTTTAATGACAACTATTTAATTTGATGAAACCTCAATTTTAAACAAAATAACTTTGACTTCTCAAACATGTTTATGTATTAGGGAGACTATTCTATTAAAATAAGAGGCTAGTTTGGGAGAAAAGCAGATTGGTGAAACCATTTCCTATAAAGAATCATAACTGAACCATATCCTTATAGGCTGTTATACCACCAAAAAATGCAAAGGACACAGTGATCAGGGGTGAAATGCCCCTTTTTCATGGCTGTCTCTGGTTTAGTGCAAGTCCTCTATAATTTGCCCTCACACAGTGTAGAACAGTACAAAAACAAATGCCAGGACGAGAAAAAGAATGATGTGGTCTCATTGGGCTTTTTGTTTGTTTTCTTTTGATGTGAGGAAAAGCAAAGGTAAAAAATAAGCATTTATAATATTGCAACCCTCCAGGTAAAACCATAAGAAAAGAAGAGTAATATATGCTTAGCACTCTGAGGTTGTTTCTACACTCTTTTTGGTTTTATTTCTTTACTTCTCTATGGCATAATGTCTATTTCTTTATGTTTAAGTCTCCATGTTAGCTTGTAACTGTAGCCTTTCATTGACTTATATAAATACATGGGAACAACAACAAAAAAGAAGCAAGGTTATTATTCTTCTTGTGCAGAAACTGATAAAATTGCAGATTCAGAAGCCCTTCTTCAAGAGACAGAAAGTGTAGAGCATTCTTAAATCCACATGTTCAATGTGTGGCTTTCATGGTCTCATTGCTCCTACATTGGCAGGGCTTATGAGGTGAGAGTTTCTCAAACTGGAGCAGAGGCACAAAATAGTGTCACTTTTGAGCTCCTTAACTGCACATCCATAATAAGACTATAAAGTGCAATGGCAGAGATTTTAAAACTACCCCTCTTCTTCTTCCCAAGTTCCCCATGACCACCTTCCTTTGTCCCAAAGATGTTTTACCTCGTTGCGCCTATGTTCTTGTAATGACACATGAGAAGGTGTTTAAAGGTCTTCTTGAAGGTGGCATTGCAAAGGGCATAGCAGGCAGGGTTGATAGTGCTGTTGATGTAGCAAAGCCAGTAACCAATTGTCCACACTGTGTTGGGGATGCAGGGTGCACAGAAGGTGTTGATAAGCACCATGACGTTGTAGGGGGCCCAAGTGATGATGAAAGCCAACAGAATAGCCAAGATTGTCCTGGTCACTTTCTTTTCCCGGGAAGGAGGAGGCTTCTTCTTTGCAGGCTGCTTAGTCATCTTCACGATCTTTCGAGCGACCGTGTTTTGTTTTTCATCTCCATTCTGACCTGAAGAACCAACCAGCTCCACGGTGGTATTAATCGGGGCGCACGAGTCACCCTTTTGGGTCTTGGTGACAATTTTGATACATGTTTGCTTAGAGTTCTCATCTTTGGAATAGCCCAGGGAAGTAGAAACTGTGTTTTCATCCTGGGTGATTTCATCATCTCTCATGTTAGAGGCGACAGCACTGACGGAGGTGGAATCATTGGAGCTTTCTTTCTCCTCCGCCTGGACACAGTTTTCAGTCACAGCATCTCTGGGGGCTTTGCCATTCTGCATTTTGTTGTGTTCCAGGCCGTCATCACTGCCAGGCATGTTGTTGTTGTTTGGCTTCACTATCCGTCCTTGGATCAGACTTGGAGACACTGGGTCTTGGTTGGCCGCAGGCTCCTTCTTGTCCTTCTTTATCCTGCTCTTACTGGCTCGGGATATGTGCCAGTATAACACGGTCATGATGATCACTGGCAAGTAGAAGGCTGCAATGGCAGTACCGAAGGTGACAGCAGCGTTGGAAAAAAACTGGATGTAGCATTCCCCATCCTTCACAGTTCTCACCCCCACAATGAACTGCCAGAAGAGAATCGCTGGAGCCCAGAGGATGAAGGACAGGACCCAGGCAGCTGCAATCATCATACCTGCCATTTTCGTGGTCCGCTTGACAGGGTAGGTGAGCGGTTTTGTGACACAGAAGTACCTGTCAAAGCTGATAATGAGCAGATTCATCACGGAGGCATTGCTGACCACATAGTCCAGGGCTAGCCAAAGGTCACACACCACAGGTCCCAAAGGCCAGTAGCCAATCACAGTGTAGAGGGTATACAAGTTCATGGAGAAAACACCGATGATGAGGTCAGCACAGGCCAAGCTGAACAAAAAGTAATTGTTGACGGTCTGGAGGTGGCGGTTGACTTTAATGGAGACCATGACCAGTATGTTCCCAATAATGGTCACCAAGCTGAGGGATCCAGCCACAAGGACAATAAACACCACTTCAAATGTCTTATAAGGACTGGTCAGAGCCAGGCCATTGTTAGAGGAGTTTGTTGAGTTATTCATTTTGTGTTCTCTAATCAGTAGCCAAGTAGCCAAATAAACATCTAAACCTGTAAGGAAATAGAATAAAATTAACAAATATAATATAAACATTGCTTTAAAATATATCAGATTTCTTCTTTTTGAACCACATTTACCCAAATCCTTCTTTTTTTCTACCTGTTTATTGTACCTACCTGCCCCGATTAAAAGGATGATTCAAAAGATACTTTCAGGCTGGCAATGTATTTAAAGTCTGATAATGTTTTCAATGTGATCATATCTAGATAAGAATATGTCTGTCATCTATCTATCTATTTATCTATCTATCTATCTATCTATCTATCTACCTCTATCATCAATCAAGTAAACTGAGCATAATGTTCATGAACTGAACTAAATAAACCAAAATTTATAGAAAATTTTACAAAGCATCAAGAAGTTCCCGATATGGACAAAATTATGGAAGAAAGCATAAAACTTATAATATTGAGTTGTGACTTTTATAGTCAATAACTCCTTTACACCTGGTAGCTCTACAACTTTTTTATAAGACTAATAATGATAATAAAGATAATATAATAACACTTTATTAACCAATACACTTCACCCAAGAAGTATTATTTCCTTGACTTCTGTTTTACACTTGCAGTCAGTATCAGATATTAGCATTTCTAATATTCCACATATTGCAAAGGAAGTTATTTATTAAAATACTAGAGGCCCGATGCATGAAATTCATGCAAGAGTAGGCCTTCCTTCCCCCTGCTGCCGGCACCAGCTTCCCTCTGGCACCCGGGACCCAGCTTCGTCCGGGAGGATGTCCAGTGTAATTAGCATATTATGCTTTTATTATTATAGTTATATTGATACGATTGTATCAATTTTTTTGAATGTTTTATTTTTCAAATTACTCTCAATACTATGTTTCTATTTTGTTCTAGCTATTTCAAATGTATTGCTTCTAATTCCATAGTGAGCAAATCATTACATTCTTTCCTTATACATTTCTCTAGTAAATGGCATGAAGATTGCCTCAAATTGCTTGACATGGTGTTGAAATGAACATTTTCACAACATGTCATGGACTTGCATATGAATTTTCCTATTGGTCGTGCCCAGGAGTGAGAGCACTTGATCAGGTCAGGGTATAAGCTTTCTTCTGAGGACCCCTATATGTTCTCCTGGAGGGTGGCTGCAGATCCTACCCTGATTAGGTCAATCCTGTTTCTCAATAACCTTTAAACAATTGTTATGCATCTTCCTAATGTTGCCAACCTGAGAAAGGTAAAGTATAGCTTTTGGGTTTAATTTGTATTTTTCTGATTATTAGAGAGGCAGGTTCCTTTTGAGGCATGTGGAATTATTACTCTGGTAGAACATAGTAAATGTTAACATACTTAGTTGTTATCAGAGCCTCTAAATTTTTGGTTGTAATATTTACTTGTTTCTGTTAGCGCTATCTGTAAAAATGGAAAACATTTCACTTAGAAGCAAACACAGTGTTAGAAGGATGGCATTCCTTTCCCCGCATGTGATACACAAGCTATGTGAAGACTGTTCTAGAAAAAAAAGTTTCCTTTTGTCAACCTCTTGCCACCTCTGCTATTTACATTTCTATAAAAGTTTTACTTCTGGTGTGGCATCATAGGGCCTTATTAAAACAATAATAGGTACATCATTTATGAAATAACATAGTCACAACAGACTAAACAATGAAGATGACCTTCAGAAGACTCAACATCTTACTATGGCAAGTATATAATAATCGGTTTGGAATTTTATGATGTTAGTTTATGACTAAGTCCCAAAAGTACTATAGAAACATATGAGAAAAAAAATCCCCTGCCTTTAGCTTTCACTACTTGAATTCTTATATTTATTCTTGCAAAGTTGTGGGTGCTAATATCTTCTTAATGACTAGCTGTGTGAGTCTGATCATGTCACTTAACTTCCATGGACTTTAATTTTATTTCTTTCTCAAACAGGGATAATAATAATGATTTTTCTTCTAGAGGTAAGGATCAAACTGAGATAATGTCTCTGAACCATAATCTGTAAATGTTAAGCATTAAATAAATGTTCTTAATATTCATAGTTGTTAAATGTATGTAGGTTTATTACCTTTTTTAACAGTTAAGAAAAAATTGTGTGTGTGTGCTTATGAAATAGATTCAGTGTGGGGTGTAGTGATAGAGGCAATACTAAATTATCATTATCAATGACATTAAATTATCAATAATTTTGAATTGTAAATGACAATAATATTGATAATAATGAATATATACAGAACATGATTACTCTTCACAGAAACTCCTGAGGTAATTTGTATTATTATTATATTCTTTTTTTTTACAAGCATTAAATTAAAAATAAAGCAATTTAGTTATCTGAGATTCAAACCCCCTGTGCCTAACTTCAGATCCTGCTATAAATATTTATTGCTTGTCTGAGGGACAGTCTTACCCAGCAGCAAATGTGTGCTCCAAGTATTCACCCCTCTGACTTGCCATGACTAAGCTCTCTGCCCCAACTTTAAGTTGGATCTTTGGTTTAGGCAACACAGGATCTTTGTGTCTAGGCTAAAATTGTGACTTTGAGCAGCAAATATTCACAATAAGATACAGGGTTAGTAAGTAGTGTTCTGCACATTAAAATATATGACATTTAATATAAACATTTTCCTAAAAGCAATCATCATAAAAATATGTCACCTTGTGAGTTGATATGTAACCTCTAACAAAAATATTCAAATCAATCACATAAACATTCTAAACATTCACAGTAACATTTTTATGAAGTTACAGAGAGAATCCTAATTAAAATGATTTTAAAAAATTGGATATGTATTTAGATACACAGTGGAAATTAAATTAAAAAATATAAAATTTCTCCACACTCTGCCCAAGTCATGCAGGATGCCGGATACATGATGATCACTTCATAGATGTACCCACAATGTAATATGCTAATAAAAATTTATCAATACATGAATAACTTAAGTGATAGAATTTTTTGCACTTTAATATATTGAATTCTCACAACAACCCTGAAAAGAAGTATCTTTTTCAGTTTTAGAGATGACAATAATCAAAAAGCTGGCAAGCACCTGGTAGTACCTGATTCTTAGGGCCACGATTCTTCCACTACACCAGACCATGACACAAAACCTGATTCACTGTTTTTAAAGTTTTTTGAAGAATAAGAAAAATCGGGACAAAAGGAATTCATGATTGATAACAATTGGAATCTGGAGAGAGAAGATATGTAATTGTATAACAAAATTTCAGAACAAGAAATTAGGAGGAATTCCAATGAGGTTGAATTTATGATTATATATGTTTATTTAACTTTTGTTTTTAAGATATAATTTTGGTGTGTATATACTTTGTATAGTATTCTGATTTCTGCTGCTACTCGAATACATTACCAAAAATGGCAGGGTGTTCTGGGTGTTCTCTGCCTATCCCTTTCAGACATTGATCTCTAAGAAGCAGCCTACTTGTTGAGCAGACACTAGGGATAAAAATTATCAGCCTCACCAGTGGTGCCTGAAATTCTAACTGATAGAATAAATAAGGGCAATAATAGCTTTTTAAACTGTGTATTTAAGGGCTAAAAAGTACACTCTGTCCTGAGATAATTAAAAGTTTACTTCAACAATATTATGCCTAGATATCTAGCTTTCAATACAAAATAAAACTTCTAGAGAAACCATGAAAAAGAGGTGATAAAGTAAAAGAGCAGACTGCCATTGGAAGTGAGACTATACCTACTGAGGAACTAGGTGTGATAGTCTAGGAGTCTCACCCATCATCTCTCCTCTGCCCAGAGAGTGAGATGTGGTAATTTTGCATGGCATTATTGCCAATTAGGCAGCAAATGAAGTTTATTTTCAATTTTATATAATGAAAGAGATAACTACTGACGTATATAGTCTATATTCTGTTTTAGATCTCGTAAAGATTCAATTAATTCCACTAATTTATAAACAGCTTTGGTGCTGGTATTTATTAAGCTTTGAGATTATTCTTACATCAGTGATCAGTCACTCCTGCCATCAATGATGTTGGAGAGAAAAAGAAAGAAAAGAGAGTTGGGAAGAAACATTTTAAGGAAATCTTGGGGAGCCAAGTCCCCTTCTCTGAAGGAAGGTTTCATCACACAGTTTTGATATTGATGCAATAGAGCAGGGTTCCTCAAACTTTTTAAACAGGGGGTCAGTTCACTGTCCCTCAGACCGTTGGAGGGCCGGACTATAGTTTAAAAAAAAACTATGAACAAATTCCTATGCACACTGCACATATCTTATTTTGAAGTAAAAAAACAAAACGGGAACAAATACAATATTTGTATTTGCATGTGCCCCGCGAGCCGTAGTTTGAGGACCCCTGTACTAAATAACAGTTTGCTTATATTATGACTAGAGGCCAAGTGCATGAAATTCATGCATGTAGGTGGGGTTGGGGGTCCCTCAGCCCAGGCTGCACCCTCTCCAATTCGGGACCCTGCAGGGGATGTCCGACTGCCGGTTTAGGCCTGATCCCTCTCACAATCCGGTACCGCTGGCTCATAACTGCTCACCTGCCTGCCTGCTTGATCACCCCTAACTTCCTCCCCTGCCAGCCTGATCACCCCTAACAGCGCCCCCCTGCCAGCCTCGTCACCCCTCACTGCCCCCCGTGCTGGCCTGGTCGCCCCCAACTGCCCCACCATGCCGACCTAGTCACCCCACGCAGCCTGCTGTCCAGTCGTTACTGTGACAGCATCCTGGACAATTTGCATATTCCTCTATTATTAGTATAGATGACTCATAGGAGTGACTTTCAATTTTACTTAAAAATAAGAGTTCTGTCCTGGGGCTCACGACACCTTGCAACTCTGATAGCTGACATTAGTGATATTTTGACAACATCAGGCAGAAATGAAGTAAATGTACACTTTAAAAAAATCAGGTTTTCCTTTGAGCTAAGCAACACATTATGAGCTACTGTACATATCGAGAGCTTTTGCATGAGCTCCTGAATCTCACTCAAAGAGCAGTTGTATGGGTGGGCTTGGTGGCCACAGG